CCCTCCTGCCCAGGCAGGGGGTCGGACTTGAAGATCTACAAGGTCCCTTCCAACCCTACTTCTATGATTCTATGACTCTGGGGGAATTGGTGGCAGCTTACAAATATATCAGAGGAGAGCATCAGGAGCTAGATGAACAATAGTGCAAAGCTTCAGTTGCTGACTCAATATGGAGTAGATTCGGCCCGATTTATCAGATGAATCTCCACGTTCGAATTGAATCAGGAGATCCATTAATTTCTCTGAATAGAATCAGAAGCCTCCGATTCGATTCGGAGAGATTCGGCGATTTGGCCATAGACACATGGTATACATTATATGGAATATTTTATATGTTTTGTGTATGTACCTCAAGGTACCAGGCGCAGCTTGTGAATGCTGCAATGCTGGGGTGGATGGAGCATCCCACTGGAGCATGGGGTGGTCCCCCACATGCTTGGCAGCAGATCCGGAAGTGGACCTGAAGTACTTCCAGTCCACTTCTGGGTCCACCGCGGAGCATGTAGGGGACCCCCTCACCCCCCAGCTCAGCGACTGGTGCCTCCTGGGTCTGGGAGGGGCACCTGGGGTTTCCCCATGTCTGATCACTGAGCCGGGGAGGTGCGGGGGGAATCCCCTGCATGCTCAGTGACAGACCCAGAAGTGGACTGGAAGTACTTCCGATCCACTTCTGGGTCCGCCCCTGAGCATGCGGGGTACCCCCCTGCACTCTTGTAGTATGCTCCATCCATCCCACCATCTCAGCATTCATGAGCCACACCGGGCACCTTGAGGTACTTAGAAAAAACATACAAAGCCGTGTCTATGGCCGAATCACTGATTCTCTGAATCAGAATTTAATCTTAAGATTCAGATTTGGCTGAATCAAATCAGGACAGTGATCTGAATCAGCGAATCAAATCACTGTCCCCCAAATTGGGCTGAATCCAAATCCGAATTGAATACTGCCCACTTCACACACTCCTAGTGAACAACTATTCACCAATGTGCCCCAGGGGAAAACCAGGAGCAACAATCATAAACTCCTAGAAGAAGGTTTGAGACTGGATATAAGGTAAAACTTCTTCACAGCTTGTGTGACCAGACTATGGAATAGACTTCCAGCAGGTGTGGTACAGGCATCTACCCTGGAGCTATTCAAAAGGAGACTGGATGCATGCCTTGCTGGGGTTATTTGACCCCAGCAGTCTTTCCTGCCCAAAGCAGGGAGGCTGGACCCGATGATCTCATGAGGTCCCTTCTAGCCCTAAACTTCTGGAAATCAGTGAATCTGTGAATATTGAACAAAACCAGCCCCAGGACTGATTCCTGGGGCACTCTACTTGATACCAACTGCCAACTAGACCTTGAGGCACTTATCATTAACCATTGAGCCTGATGATCCAGCCAACTTTCTATCCACCTTACAGTCCATTCATCCAACCCATACTTCCTTAACTTGCTTGCAAGAATGCTGTGGGAGACCATATCAAAAGGCTGGCTAAAGTCAAGGTGTAGCACATCCACTGCATTCATTGCACCCACACAGATAGTAATCTCATCATAGAAGGCAATCAGGGTGGTCAGGCATGACTTTGCCCTTGATTAATCCATGCCAACTGTTCCTGATAATTTTTTTTTTCCCCTCCAAGTGCTTAGAAATGGATTCTTTGAGGACCTGCTACATTATATTTCTGAGGACTGAGGTGAGGCTGACTGGTCTGTAGTTCCCTAGATCCTCCTTCTTCCCTTTCTTAAATATGCTCACTATGTTTTCCCTTTTCCAACCATCCAGGACCTCTCCTGATCACCATGAGTTTTCAAAGATAATGACCAGCAACTAATCATATCAGCTAACTCCCTCAGCACTCTTGGATACATTACATCTGGCCCCATGGAATTATACATATCCAACTTTCCTAAATAGTCCTTAACCTGTTCTTTCACTACTGGGTGCTTCTTACCTTCTCCCCAAACTGTGCTGTCTGCCATAGTAGCCTCGGAGTAGCCTTGCCTGTGAAGACCAAGGTATAAAAGGCATCGAGTATTTCGCCTTTTCCTCAATATATGTCACTAGGTTACTTCCCCCATTCATTAAGGGACCCACACTGTCTCTGACTTTCGTCTTGTTGCTAACATACTTGTAGAAACACTTCTTGTTATCCTTCATGTCCCTTGCTAGCTGCAACTCCAGTTGTGCTTTTGCCTTCCTGATTTCATCCTTGCATGCCCGAGCAATATTCTTATACTCTTCCCTAGTCATATGTCCAAGCTTCCACTTCTTATAAGCTTCCTTTTTGTGTTTAAGCTCACCAAAGAGTTATCTGCTAAGCCAAGCTGGTCAGCTGCCATATTTGCTTTTCTTTCTGCACATCAGGATGGTTCAATTCCTGCACACTCAATAAGTTTTCTTTAAAATACAGCCAGATATCCTGGACACCTTTCCCCCTCATATTGGCCTCCCAGGGGATTCTGCTTATCAGTTCCCTGATGGAGTCAAAGTCTTCTTTTCTGAAGTCCAGGATCCATACTCTGCCTTTTAAAATAGCTCTTAAGACCAAGAGCCTGGTTTAAATCTGCTAAACAAGTAAGTCTTCTAATCAATAAGTTAAAAATTAAAGTTATGAAAGTCAGTAAGACACCAGTTGATTCTATCCATCTAGACAGAACAACTTTGAGTGTTGTTAATGATTGTATTTACCTAGGCATCACCTTCCACAACTCCAGTGACTGCATGAGCAAGGCAAGTGCTGCTTTTCAGTATGGCACTCTACAAGGGATAACTTAGTGCTGATGCTTATGGTAGTATACCTCCATGCTGATTGGAATCATGGAAATTTAACAAGTCTATTGAAAGGAAGTTAAACTCCTTTAAATGTAGATGGCTACACCATATATTCAGAGCAAAATGGTCAGACTGAATAAGGAACGCTCATCTCTTGTAGAGGATTTATAGTTACTGACCATTGTGCTGACAGTTCAAGTGTTAAAATGGTTTTACCTTAGCCACATTCTGAGAATGCCAGATAACAGGCTCCTCAAAAGACATATTTTAGCAGCCCCAAGGCAAAAAGGAAGAGAAATTTCCCGGATGAACTCAAGATCCAAAGTAACAGGCTCCTACCTGAATAGATTAAAGGATATAAACCAGGGCAGGATTGGTTGGTGAAAACCTTCCTTTACCTTGCACACCTCGCGGGGAGAGAAGTAGAGTTGGTTGGAATGGATTGGATAGGAATGGATTGGGTAAGATTTATCAAGTAACTTCTTCTCTACCAAGGTATCAGGACTGTTTTGTGGAACTTTGTTTCGTGCTGTGTCAGTCAGTATTCCATGCAATGTATACCATGTATTTTGCTTTTACTGATCTGCAATTTTTGTCACCACTAAAGATGTTCATGCAAATTGACTAAGTGTGTGGTCTGACTTACAATGTGGATAGTGATATTTTTCTCTGGTTCATTAATTACCATATTTACTCAAATACAAGATGAGGTCCTCCTCCCAATCAGAATTGGGGGAAAAAGCCCTCATTTTATATTTGCATAAAAGATAACCTCATTAAATACACTGTGTATCATTAAACTACTGCCAAAAGCAGCACGTGCTCAGTAATGGAAACCAACTATAAAGCTGATTAAATCTAGTCAACACTGAGCATGACTAAAACACATGGCCCATATTGGGCAAACGTACTGATGGGAACCTACCACAAGAATAAGTTAGTGCAGCCCATCTGAATAAAGTATATGGTACTACCCATAACATATTGTCCTCCCTCAGTGCTGGCTTTTTTTTCAAGTCATAGTGAACCGCTACACAGCTGAGCTGTGCCTTTCTTTCCTCTTTCCAATGATTCCTGTTTCTTCACCAGTCTTAAATATCTGGCAAACATCACTAAATGAGGCCCCAAACAATGTATTCAGAATTCCTCTGTTACCCCACTTTCTTAAGTTGTCCTATATGATGTGTGGTCCTACCCTCCATGAGGTAGAGCCAAACCAGGTTGCCCTGCACTTCATCTGCATATAATTTTTTGAGCATCCCAGGACTCAAAATGAGAACATCCAGTTCTAGTCATAACCAGGGGATGTGTGTGTGTTTGGGGGGGGAGGGTGCTAATTAGAACATGGATCCTTTGTAGGGAGGTATCTGGAATACACACACATACTGAGCAGTGCTAAACTGTGAGGTTACCATGGCTTGAAATTCTGTTGACTCTGGTGGGGCCAAGCCTAATGAACTGTATCAGGATCCTTTTTTGCTTTGGACTAAGATCATGCAGTGTGTATTATATATATATATATATATAATACAATATTATATATATATATATATATGAACAAAAATGCTTCTTAAAAGTATGTTTATGGAGTAACTGTGCTGAAACTTACAGAAGTTTCAAAAAATGTGAATGCATCAATTCTGCATGAACTAAGTCTATGGGCACCTGTAATGGTTTGCCACTATACAAATTGCTGTAGTATGTTTTATTTCAAGATCAGGGTTTTCAAATTGGCCCCTCATTTCCATGTGCTCATGAAGAGCAGGTTCTGATAGTAAGGAGAGGGGGAAGGGGCTGAAAAGGGAACAAGTTGGGGGGGGACAAGAGGGCTATCCGAGCCCCTAGATTTATTTTCCCTGCTGTAGCAGTGAGAGGGGATGCATTCAAGGCAAGTCTCCAATAATTAGTTTCTATACCTGTAAAATTATAAAAAATATATAAATTTTCCATATATGGAATCTAATTATTGGGGGGGTCATCTTATATTCATGGTAATCTTATATTCAAATAAATACGGTACCCCTGTGCCAAGGCTGAAACAGAAAGCATCTCTCCAATGCATTGATTGGAGAGATATCCATAATATATACCAACTCAAAATGAAAAGCAGAGGACAGAGAGATTTTCCTACCATATTTAGGCCTTAAGCAGATAAGCGGGGCCAATCAGTACTAACAGAGCTTTATCGGCGTGGCCCGGTGTTTCTGTTACTCACATATCAAAGAGAGTTGTTTTGCGGAGTAGTTGGTCAGCTTGACCAGATAAGTGAAGTTCAAGGTCTTGGTCTTTATTTTCCTAGAGTTCAGTAGCCCAGGCTGAGAATATCTGAAAAATCATGTAAAGTATGAAAATAAAGAATGTGGTCAACAACACTGCTCCTCTGACATAATGGAACTTCCTACCACAACTATAAATCTTATTTGTGTAGGAGACAGAGGTTTCTCAGGGGGCCAGTCACAGACTGTGGAATGAACTCCCACAGGAACTAATGGTATGGACAAACTTATATTTTAGCCACTTCAGATGGAAAGGGGAGATTCTGCTTGTGAGTGCACAGCAGCTTTTATTATCTAATTGTTATGCCTGCATGATCCTTTAGCAATATAAATGAGCTATATCTTCCTAAAGTTGACCCTGCATGAAGCAAACTTAAAGGCAGGGTGGTTTTGCTACACTTATATCATTATAGAATCATTCAGACATTAAAATTGTATTGAAATAGCTTATAGCAAGTTTGACCAACTTGTAGCATGCCTGTGTGTGGCATGTAGCAGATTAAGGGGGAGGCAGGCAGTGTAGTGGAAGAAGGGCAGAAAGCAAAAAACTGAGCAGCAGTTTGGGCAGAGGAAGGGGACAGGGTAAGGGAGGCTTGGGCCAAATGCGGCCCGCCAACAGATTTGATATAGGGCAGGTGGCCGCCAACTCATTGGATCTGGTCCACAGGCTGCTAGCAGCTCTGGCTCCAGCTGCCATGTGCTGCCGGGTGGGGTGGCAGGGCTGTTTCTGCCATGATGGGCAGTCAGGTAGGACTTCTTCCTCCCGGCAACCTCAGCTCTTAATATAGCAGCATCAGCTGTGGACCAGGGCAGGGGCTTCTGCTGCAGCAGGCAGGTGGTAGCATCAGCTGTGGATGCCACCAGTAGGTTCAAAAGCCCCAATGCAGAACCTGCCAGTGGCATCTACAGCTGATGCTGCCACCTTCCAGCACAACAAAAATTCCTGCCTAAACCCCAACCCAAAATCTGCCAACAGCACCAACTGTGGACCCAGGCAGGAGCTTCTACTGCTCCAGGTGGGTGCTGGCATCAGCTGTGGACACTACTGGCAGATTCTGCATCAGGGCTCCAGAACCTGCTAGCTATGCTCACAGCTGACACTGCTGCCAGCCCGCCAGAGCAGAAGTCCCCATCTCGATCCACAGCTAAATAAGCCAAGCTCTTTCAACCTCTTTTCAAAAGATAGGCTTTAATTGTCCAAGCATTCCAGTAACCCTTCTTTGCCCATTGACTTAATCTTTCAGCTGGTCCCTCTGGGTTTTGCTCCTATAGCAATAATGCATCTGTAACAAATTTTAACAAATAGCATGAAACCTACCAGTATTTTAAAAATGGGGGGGAAATTCTTATAATTAAAAAAAATTGGAAATACCATGCTCTTTTACTAATCCTCATAGTACTTGCTGTACTCCACATTCCCTACCCTCAGCCTGTCTTCTTGCATGAAATCTATTTGAGGCAGGAGCTTTTTCCTGTGCCATGTTTCTACAATGCTTTCACAACCTCCCCCGCCCAAAATCTTGGGGGGTTGGTCCATGAGTTGTCATCCAAAGTTTTTTGTGTATAGTGTACTGATACGGTAAGTGTGGTCTCATTGAAAATCCATGTTATGCTGTGAACATTTACGCCACTTTTATCACTGTATAGATTATGTTATGCCATTTGTATATAACTTTATGATTTTGGACGTGGTTTAATCAAATGGACTGAAGGATGCATACTGAAGAAGGTAGTAAGTAAATAACTCAAGCCACTGTGCTGTAGGTCAAGGAGAATTGCCACTCCCAATCACAGATGGAAAGAACCAATATTGGAATGGGTTTCCAAGACATTCTCTGACTGTAATGGAAAATTCAACCTCTCAATAGAAAAGGCATCTTAGAATAAAAGGTCAATGGCCAGAGGATGCCAGGTGTCCTAGGGAGAGAAATCTCTGGAGGATTTTGAGACTCATGAGAAATTAGGACAATATTGAGGGGCCTGGTTTAGAGTATTTTAAGGGTTATCTGTGAAGTGGCCAGGGTCTTTGGATTTTCCCTGTCCAGGGGTAGGGTGCAACTCCCAGCAATCAGTGCTCATGATCTCAGGGCTAATGATATTCCAGGCTAACCCAATCTATGGAAGGGGAACCAAAAATACTTTCACATCACAAAAGGAAGCCACATGGAGCTGGCAGAGATTTCCTGATGGAGCTGTGAGGTCTGATCTAAGGGCAATGGAGTGGAGGCATTTATTTTCTTTAATTTCTCCAAATGAAAAAATGGCTATCCCAGGATCTGGGAACCCAAAGCAAAACCTTGGCAGTCTTGAAGGCAGGTATGATGACTTCTTTTTTTCTTATCCTGAATTTTTGTTGCATCATTTGACTGTTTTACAGTGTTAGGATAAAGGTTTATTGAACCCTTTCACTATTTTTATTCCAGATTTCACACTTCTTTAAGTGCATTACCTTATTTAATTAATTGTCAATTTTATTAAATTGTAAGTTACTTAGAATCCTTTGGATGTACACAGTTGAGAACTAAATATTGTCAATATTAACAACATTAGTATGATCAGTATTGGTAACAGAACATCACTTTCTCAAGTCTCACCATTTAATATTTTATTTCTGCATTGTGTGACACTTTATCAGATTCTTAGCACAAGATTTCCCTCAGTGGGATTTTAAAAACACACTCTGTCTGACGAATGCTGTGATAGCCGTCTCAAATCTCCATATGAAAGCATGTGTTCAGGTCTCAATAGTGTTCAAGATTTCTTTATACCACATTTAGTAGCTTGGCTTTATCATTTCTCTTAAGGTGAGCAGCAACTGACTTAAAAAACAAACCAGTTGTGAAGCAAAAGTAAAACAAAGGTAGACTGAGAGTGTAAGTGCACCAGTTCAGGAGATTAAGCCAATACCCTCAGGTGAGCTTTTAATCAGGTGATCAATTTTTAGCATCACTTTCTGCTTTTCAATAGCAGGCTGATATTTGGAACCACCATTTTAATAATTAAATAGGCATTAGAAACAAAACCTTTCCAGACAGCTACTGGGTATTGAGAAGTTGCAGATTAGGTTTAATTAAATACTTTGTAAAGTAATCCTCCATAACTAAATCAGTAAACATTATGACATGATCACTTTTATTTTTGTTAGGTATTATATTCATTCCCCTCTCTTCCACTCAGTGTAGTTTTCCTAATTCAGACAACTAAAGATGCTAAGAATCTTAATTTCTCATGCAAGTTATCTGAGAAATAGAAGCATCCATTCAGGATTCAAAGAAGAGTTAGGGAAAAGGGATTCCATTGACACTATCTCATGGGGAAATAGTTAGAGCTTGATCTTCAGGACCTTGAGGTCTCAATTAGGACTCATGTCCCTACTTTTATTTAATTTTGCAGACCACACAGAGCTAGCATTAAAAAGTACTCTGAAAGAGAAGGCTACACATTTTCAAATAATTTAATATTTTTTAATTAAAATTGAATTTGAGATAAACATTTTTGGATTGCAAGGGAGATTTCTGCTGTTTCTGGCATGTATGAAATGTATTTGGATTTATTTAAATCATAATTTTAACTGCATGGAGTTCAAAGCAAGAGAAATGAAAATGAAACCTTATATGAGCACTGGATTGATTTTTTTTTTTATATTACTCTATTCTGCAGCATGTTTTAATTAAGGGAAGGGAAGAAAACGTTGAGATTTCTGGGCTACCTACAAGGTGTGGAGAGATCAAAAGTTCAGTCAATCAAAGCTGAAATGTTTCAGATGAATTTAAAAGAAAGCAGACAGTTGAGTCAAGCATGAGGGAAGCTTTTCATGAGTGAAAGGTGGTTGCAACTGGTGAATCAGGGTGCAAAAGCAGCATGCTTCTAAAATAGCTTCAGAAATGAAGTAACCTTAGTACCACAGGCTAGTTAGTGGCACCATCACTGTGAAAGTAATGAGCTTGCATGGCTACTCAGGAGAAGGAAAAGGGAGATGCAGATTAAACAGAAACAGAAAAATTATGATTTGTACAATTAAAACTTTTATCTTGAATGTGCTGTTCTGTATCTGATCAAGTTTAGTATGCAAGCAATGGACTTGAACTGATTAGGCCATTTGATTTCTAACTCCTGTGGCCATACCACCTACTCACAGGCTGGGAGGATCAGGTTCTGGCACAGTCAGTTACACATTTAACTTAGTCACTTGCATGTAGATGTTTTTGAAAAGGTTCAGGAAGAGTGAAAATGTCTGCAGTATGCTTTACAAACTTCTTACACTATCAAGCCAAATAAAAATGTGTTAGGAAAAATAAACATGAGCCATCTGCAACCAGGAGTAACAAATGCTGAAAGTAAAGGGGCAGGTTTTGTAGTAAAAAAATTCAAATGAGCTATGTAGAAAGACATTTTGAGGGTGGTCCAATGAATTTTCTCCTATCAAGTATACATTAATGTGCTTAGTGAAGATGAAATTCTGATTGACTCATTTTTGCCATTGACTTTCAATAAGTAAAACAGAGCTCACAGCAAAGAAATGTGCAATGTAGCAAAAACAAACACAGCAAAATACTTCAGCAAGCAATAAATCAAATGAAGCTTATGCACCTCACTTGCTATTATGTGGCATTTCCTATAGTGTAATGTAGTCTCCACCATACTTGTTCATAAATGTTAATCATCTCTGAAATCAGGCAGCACTTATGTGTAAGATGTGCAAAAAAAAGAAGGAGAAGGAACATAATATTAAGCTGGAAGATTTGTTGCCTTAACCTCAGGATGGATATGATTATGGTATTGCCTGTGTCTATCCAAGGAAATGTCATCAAGAGAGACAAACAAGTCTCCAAGTATGTGTTAGAAAAACATGACTTGTAAGCAAATAACAGTGGATCATAAAGAAACCAAACATATTATTTTGTTAATACATTTAGTCTTAAACTAGATTGACTTCAGAGATGTTAAATGTCATGTCCCTTTAGAGTTCTTCTCTGATCATAAGATACATCAAAAGATTCTAAATCAATGTATTATAATTATTCAAATGATTTAAATTCATAAAACTCC